GCAAGGGAAGGACTGGGAGGGGAAAAGATGGGGTCCTTCAAAGGGCCTTCCACACCCCTCACTTTCCTCAAAGAGCTCAGACTCAGTTTTAGATGGAGTAGGGAGCAAGGCCCCTCAGTGTTCAGCTCTAGCATGAAAAAGACCTGAGGCAGGTGGATACAGTACCACCAGAGTGGAGTGGGCCCAGCTATGGGCCATGGGAAAGGCTTGGAGTTGGAGAGTTAACAAACTTCATTAACCCACCTGCTTGAAGGTACATGGAATGTTCTGGAAGGTTCCAGGCAATCTGGGCTCTCTCTCCTGCCTGATAACTTCTGGAATTTTCTGTTTCCTGGTTCTGGGGCCCCAGGGAATGTTCCTGGCTGTAATCTTCTGTGAGAGAGAACAAACTTGAGGGTCTACACCAAGGGAACCATGAGAAAGGTCCCACCTATTACAGACCACCAGTGTTTTTACAAACCAAAACCAAAAAATTGCCCAAGTAACAAAACTCCCACTCATTTTTGATAAAAACAAAGAGTTCCTGCCCCTCAAGAAAATCTGTTATGTATAACTTCTTATTTGGGAATGATTAGCTTCTGAGTATTTTCCTAAGCTTCCCTCGTTTTCCAAATACAAAATATAATAACATTAAATGTGTGTTTTGTTTTTGCCAATCAAGGCTTACTGAGCTAAGCAGGCCCTGAACCAGAGTGGGCTCAAATCTTTACCACTGAATTGTGTGGTCACTGTAAAGCCATGACTAAGAACTTGCCCCTGACCTCCAAGGCTAGAGTCAATCAAATGGTTTCCAAGAGACCAAGTTGGACTAGCTGTGGTTTTACCCCAATTTATACAAGGATTTTACACAAAAGATTGAGCGCAGGAATTGGCGTTACTGTACCAAGGGACCTCTGGCTTTGTCTAGGACCTTGCCACTACCGGAGACTTCTCAAAAAGATTCTTCCTGTCCCACAAAGAAAATAAGATTTACATTCTGCCTCCCTGCATACAGTGTGAGCTCTTATAACAACACACGATGTAGCCTAGGGATCTGCAAACTCCAATGCCTGCAGGGGCCAGGAAGGTCACAGAGGTGCAAAGCAGTCCATTTCCACAAAGAAATACACCCTCCCCCATTTTTCTGGAAATGCATCATCCTTTTGTTTCCCCTTTTGATAGACATGGGATACAGAAAGATACTTCTCTATTGTGTGCAAAATGGTGCAAGTGTGTGGATCAAGGCCGTTGGTGTGAGTGTAGTGAACTGGGGAGCGATATCTAAAAGGCAGATGTTACAGCATCTCCCAGCTGGTAATGCAGGTATGTGAGCTCAGCGGCGGCACATTTTCTCATTTTTTGAGAGAAGTCAGAAATCTAGATTTTTTTTTTTTTTTGTGAGGAAGACTAGCCCTGAGCTAACATCCGTTGCCAATCCTCCTCTTTTTTGCTGAGGAAGATTGTCCCTGGGCTAACATCCGTGCCCATCTTCCTCTACCTTATATGGGACGCCACCACAGCATGGCTTGACAAGCGGTGCGTCGGTGCACACCCGGGATCTGAACCCGCGAACCCCAGGCTGCTGAAGGGGAGCGCACGAACTTCACCACTATGCCACCAGGCCGGGCCCGGAAATCTAGCTTTTTATGCAAAGTCTCCCAAGTTTTGAATGTTGGCTCAAGTTATTTTAAGGCACCACGCCAGCCACAGCCAAACACTGTGTGCGGGTTGGCTGTGGCCCGTGAACCATGAATCTTGGTCTGTTCTTGGTCCTCCTGAAACAGGCCTTCTTTTCTCTAGCAGCAGTCCCCTCCCAGGACTGAGTCTGAACGCCGAAGGGGCAAAGGCAGGATGGCAGGGCCAACCCACCTCAGGACCCCAGGTTCTGACAGCCTTAAGAGACAGTAGTGAGATGGCTAGATCCAGAGTGACACCATGACCTCATGACAGATGGTGGAGATGAACTCTCTGCACTGGCTTCTTGGGGATGAGCACACTGAGTTCTTGGCATATTCAAGTTCACAAGGTCCAGACTCAGGTCTCACTATCATCCTAACACACTAACAGAGGGACCCTCAGCTGCTTTGCACAAACCCTATGGCTATCAGGGCTACAAGCAGGCCTGAGAGCCAAGCTGCTGAGGGCAGGCAAGGCAGGCCTTCTATGATCCGGCTCATAGGCAGGTGGCAGCCTGTGACCTCATTATAAGGCTGAGGATCTGAGAGGAGGGAAAGGCCAGGATAGAGCTCACTTTTCTAGTGCACTGAATTCAAGAGATAGTGGATTGAAGTAACACCACCACTTACCAGCTGTCCCTTCTCTGAGCCTCTCTTCAGGGGATCTGGTGACCTTCTAGGAAGCCCAAAGATCTGAGGCACAAGCACCCCACCCCCTCAGCCATTCCCCCAAAACAGAGTGTGGTGGCCACTTACTTTGGCTCCACCCTTGGTGCCTCAGCCTCAGGCTGTGGCTATAAAGACCGCATATATATATAAGGAGTCAATAATGACCAAATGGACAACCCATTGGCCTAAGGTAGACTATCCTTATTCATCTTGGCTCAAGCTGGGGCGATTACAGAGAACAGGTGCACTCAGCGAATGAAATGCCAGAGCCTCAGATGGAAACAAGAACTCCTACTCCCTCAGAACCGGGATCTGTATTTCACTATTAAAAAAAGGGCAACAGAGGGAAAAGCAGTTTGACTCAAGAGGAATAAAATCAAGTCCTGATCAAGTCCAAAGACAATATCACAATTGCCAAGACATGTACACCTTTGATTCCTGTGTTGTTGTCCATGTCTCCCCACTTAGGACCTGTGTGTGCTGCTCACTCAGCCACATACTGTACTTGCACCCCCATCCCCACCCCCACCCCAATGAGCACCGCCTGGGGCAGGCTGGGCCCCTCCTGTCCATCTCCGTCCTAGGTCCAACCTTCTAGGGAGTTTTGGTTTAGTTTGTGACCAAAAGGAGAAAATGGACTAAAGTTGAGCATGTCTGAGCCTTCCTCCACTATCAGGAATTGGGGAACAGTCCCTAGAAGGCAGGGGCTAATGTCCACAGCCTGGTTCCGCCTCTCCTTCCCAGGGCAGGTAAGAAGCTGAGAAAGGAATGACCTAGGACAACTGCAGGGAGCGGGTGTGTGTGTGTGATACTATGGGAACCAGTTGGGGGATCCTTCAAAAAGCCTCCCACACATCTCCCCCTTCCATGAAGAGCCCAGACTCAGTTTTAGGGAGGGCAGAAAGTGGGGTCTCTCAGAGTTCAGCTCTGGTCTAAAAAAACCTGAGGCAGGCAGTACGGCACTATAAGAGTACAGTGGGCCTAATTCTAGGCCTAAGGAGAGGCTCAAAGTTGGATGGTTAATAAACTTTATTGACTACCCTGCTTGGAGCTGCATGGAATGTTCTGGAATGTTCCAGAAGTTTCACATTCTGGATGCCCCAACCCCCAAAACCCTCTGGAACCTTTATCTATCTCCATGTTCTTCACGGACAGAGAACAAACTTGAGGAGTCTATGTCAAGCAGCCCATGAGAAAGGTCCCAGCTATTACAGACCACCAGTATTTTTACAAATAAAATCCAAAAGAATCCCAACCCCTTTTGATAGAAACTTTGATAGAATCTTGCCCCAAGGACACTTTGTTATACCCCAACTCCTTGGTTGAGAATCACTAGTTTCTGTACATTTTACTAAGCTTCATTTCCTGTAGTTGGCATTTCAAAAAAAAACCCAGATCTTTCCTCTTGTTTTCCAAATATGAAACATAATAACATTAAATGTTCTTTTTCAAAGTACATTTGCCCCTCCCCCGAAATCAAGGCTCACTGAGCCCAGCAAGTCTGAACCAGACTGGGCTCACAGCTTTACCCCTTAATTGTAGGGTCACTGCAAAGCCATGACTAAGAGCTTGCGCCAACCCTCCAAAGCTAGAGAGAATTGAATGGATTTCAAGAGACCAAGTTGAACTAGCTGTGAGTTTATCCCAATTTATACAAGGATTTCACACAAAAGATTGAGTGTGGGAATTGGTATTAAGATACCAAAGCACCTCTGACTTCGTTTAGAACCTAGACTTAGGCCCTCACCCTTGTGGGAGATCTCTTGCACAGGTTTCCTATCCCCACAGCTTTACACTCAGTCCCAGTGCATAAACGTTTGAGCACCTACAATCTCACAGCCAACCCACACCCCCCATGGTTAAGAGAGCCTGACTGTTACAGCTCCAGCCAAGTGATGACCGCTGCTTAGCACGAATTAGACAAAAAAAGCAGCCATGTTTCAAGTACTTGTTTTGTGGGGCCTGCGATAAGCATTGCAAGCTAAGCAGGAGGATGGGCCACATTCAGACGACTCAAACTCCCAGTTTGTTGCTCTATTTCTGGCAGGGTATGAGTTGCACAGTTAGCCATGGGGCTGGCTGGTAAAGGGATGACCTGGTGACAGGTACACTATCCCAAGGATAAATCTGACTTGACCGGCATCAGGTTTTAATCACTGAGCCCACCAGAACAATGGATAATAAAGTGTGACAGACCTCAGGAGAGCAGGTGATTTGCTCCTTTGCTGTCATGCCCACAGAGTAACTTCTCCAAGGTCATCCATTAGATAGATAACTATGAGCACAGGAACGCTCATTCCTTACTCGATGACCTTGCTTTCCCACTCTCACATGCCAACAGAAGGGGGAGTGGGGTCTGGGGCTGACCACACAAGAATGGCAAGGTTCCAAATACCACATTCTTACCCTACACCAGGTCTCACCTGTGGCTTGGGGAACTCACAGAAAGACAAGGTTCGTACAACCCCAGAATTTTTCTTTTGGCAGCCAACAATTGGTCACAGTGCACGTTTCAAGGTTACAGAGGAGCCCCACGGTAGACACGCAGGGCAGGAGCAGCCAGTGCTTGCTCAGAGCTTTACAACAAAGCCAGAGCAAGTGTTCCAGAAGTGGACAACATCAGGAAGGCAACCTCTGGAAGCAGGCACCCAAGGGACTCCAGAAAACCCTTCACTATTGGGCTTTCGGGACTCTCCATCTTGGGGCCTCTTTCTCGGGCATCGAAAAGCCACCTTTTCTGGACCGTGGGGGGAGGGATGTGCAGGTCCACGGCTAGGCTGGGCGGGCGGGGAAGAGGAGGGGAGAGCAGTCCTTCGGACCCCAGCAGAGGCAGACTATGGAAGGCAAAGGGCTCGAGAAGACGGGAAACCCCATCTTCGTGGGGCTGGCTGGGGCTGCTCCCCCGCCCTCCTCTCTCCGATTAAAAACGAAAGCCCACGATGATGAAGATGGCGAGGAGCAGGAAGACGAAAGCCGTGTCGCGGGTCTCGTCCCAGCGGAAGCCCCTCTCGGCGCGGTCCTCCTGCTGCTTGCGGAGGGCCTCACGCCGGGCCCTCTGGCGCCGCTCCCGCTCCAGCTGCTCTCCGTAGTGCGCCTGGTAGAAGGCGTCAAAGTCGAACATGGTGCGGGTGGCGCCCGGCGCGGCCTGACCACGGCCGGGGGCCCGAGAGGCAGGCGGCGGGGCGCGGGGCGCGCCGGGGTCGGCCGCCGGCGTCCTGGAGGGCCGGCCGCCGGGTCCGCGCAGGTCCTCGTCGCTGAGCAGGCCGCGGTCATACTTGCGGCGCAGGGTGGCGCTGCCCAGCACCACGTAGGCCTGGGAGATGCGCGAGAAGCGCTCGGCAGCCTCGGCGCTCCCCGAGTTGCGGTCCGGGTGGTAGAGGAGGCACTGCCGGTAGTAGGCCGCCTTGATTTGCGCCTGCGTGGCTGTGGAGGGGACGCCGAGCAGCTCATAGAGCGCCGTGCGCGAGTATGAGCCGTCGCCCGGGGAATAAGCCCTCACTTCCAGGCGCAGGCCGGCTCCCGGATTTTGTGGCGCTCCCCCGGCCTGCCACAACCTCCACATTAACAGCCCCGGGTACCTCAGAGAGCGCTTGGCTGCCATCTTGCGTGGGTCGGGAGGACGGTGCAAGATGAACTAGCAAATGGGAGGCGCGCGTTGTTCGCGACGCGTAGGCCCTGTAGCCAATCGGGTGAAAGAGAAGGCGGGGACAGGCGTGGAGCATGCGTAGTACGAGGCGGTCGCGGGGCCGATGACATAAAAGCCGGGTTCCGTGAGCCGCCGGCACCAGCTGTGCTGACGAGCGGTGGGGATGGCGTGCCGCGGGCGGAGACCAGAGCACGGCGGGCCCCCGGAGCTGGTGAGGCCTGTGACCTGCGGGCACCCCTCTCTCCTTCTCTAGGGCCTCCGTGTCTTGATTCCTCCCTCTACTCCCCTTTTCTTTTTCTCTTTCCCGCAGTTTTACGACAAGAATGAAGCCCGGAAATACGTGCGCAAGTAAGGGGAGCCTGGATGTTGCGCGGCGTCGGGGGTCGGGAGCCGGCGGGTTGCCCTGATTGCGGAAGTTGCTTGGAAATCACGCAGAGTTTCGGGGGGTAGGGGAGGGAAGGGACCCTGGTTGGTCCGATTTTTCCCACTGGCAAAGTCAGCTTTAAGTAAACCTCCGAACCCTCTGGGCCTTAGTAACCAACCTCAACACTAGAATGGGAGTGATTACACCTACTTTCTCTAGGTTGTTTTCAAAGTTTAATGTGACAACGTGTTTTAAGTATGTGGTAAAATAGGAGGCAGCGGATGCTTGTGGGGGGGTCATTGGTATCGGGGGGAAGGAAATAATATTCATAGAATGCTTATTCTAGAATATCTTTAGAAGGTCTGCCTTTATTTAGTTATTTAGCTGACTCCTCATGAGAACTTTTGGTGTGGTATCTGAATTTCATGGAGGGTGCTTATTTGTATAATTATGAAGTTGTTTAACAGGTGAGGGCTAGAGAGGGTACTTCCAAGGCTAGCCTTTCTGATAGATTCCTCTAGAAGATACTACAGATACCTGTTCTCTCCTTTCTGTTCAAATCGGAGTCCAAGACCAAGATGGTCAGCAAAAATCTCTGGCCCAGTTGTCATTATGTAGCAAACAAACTTTTTTCCAGCTGCAGAGCCATCTGTTTGGCATTCTGAAAACCATTATGTGTGATTCTTTCTCTTGATCCTGGGAAAACCAGGTACACTATAGACCTGTTTGTTCAATATGGTAACTAATAGCCATCAGCCATCTATTCAAATGTGTCTAGTCGAAATTACTTAGTATGAAGAAAAAGTAAATATTTTGTTGATCATTTTGTGTGTTGATCTGTTGAAATGATATTTTGAGCATATTGGGTTAAGTAAAATATATTATTAGGTATATTGGGTTGGGTAAACAGCTATTCATTAATTTCACGTATTTCGTTTTAACTATGGCTGCTAGAAAGTCATACGTGGCTTGTGTTATATATCTCATTTTATTCTTATTTGTTTATTTTTTTGTGAGGAAGATCAGCCCTGAGGTAACATCCATGAAAATCCTACTCTTTTTGCTGAGGAAGACTGGCCCTGGGCTAACATCCGTGCCCATCTTCCTCCACTTTATATGGGACGCCGCCACAGCGTGGCCTGACAAGCGGTGCGTCGGTGCGCGCCCGGGATCTGAACCCCGGGCCGCCAGCCGCGGAGCGCACGCACTTAACCACTGCGCCATGGGGCCGGCCCTATTTCTTATTTTATATCTCAGCACTGCTATAGATTTTTGTTGTGCATTGTTGATCTTTATACAGTAATTTTTCCAGAGAACACGTTCTTAAGTAATACAACATCAAAGCCTGATTGAGCTGAAAATAGCTGATAGTTGGTCATTAGCTAATCTCTTCACATTAGCTTTACAGCTGGTACAGTTAGAATTTGTGTCACAAAATAACTTGTTGCTGTATTATGTGGACTTCTGGGGTCGCTTTTAAATAGTTGTGGTTGAGTTTGGTGACCGGTAGAGTACCTCAGGGTGATTGTTTCTTTTTCTCTTTCTCTGGCTTTTTTTGCTCTGGGTGAGGTTTTAGCTCAGAACTCCTTTATCACTTGCTTGTGTTTCTGCCTTCCCAGCTCACGGATGATTGACGTCCAGACCAAGATGGCTGGACGAGCATTGGAGCTCCTTTATCTGCCCGAAGATCGGCCCTGTTACCTCTTGGATATTGGGTGAGAACCTGGGCCCGGTTCCCACTGTCCAGGTAGTGGAGTGCCTTTGCTACTCACACTGCTGAGTCCCTGTTTGATGGTGTCTTCCAGCTGCGGCTCTGGGCTGAGTGGAGATTATCTCTCGGATGAAGGGCACTACTGGGTGGGCATTGACATCAGCCCTGCCATGCTGGGTAAGTACGTCCTGTTTAGCACTGGGGTGGGCTACCCTCATGAGTGTGGAGCAGCTATGCGTAGGGTCTGTTTCCCTGACTTACTCTTGTCCGATGTAGATGCGGCCTTGGACCGAGACACGGAGGGAGACCTGCTTCTAGGGGACATGGGCCAGGGCCTCCCCTTCAAACCGGGCACCTTTGATGGTTGTATCAGGTAAGAGTCTTCATGTCCTGCTTTTAGTCCTTCAGGCCATTGCTTCCCAAACCTGTCTGTGCAGCAGAGTCACACAGGATGCTTAAAAATATACATTCCCCAGGATTTTCAGATTTATAAGGTTGGAGCGAGGCTCCACGTGTTTTTTGTATTTGGAAACGATCTACTCCTTTGATTATTTTGCACTGCCAGGGTCAAGCACCAGCGGTAGAGATTCTTTGCCTTGTGTGGGGGGGGGCGGGGGAAGGGTGGTGGTCTGAGCCCGTGGGAGCCATTTTGTGGCCTCAGCAGCCATCTTGTTCTCTTCTTTCTGGACTCTGTAGTGGAGAGTGGCCCAGACTGCTCCAGCCTCTTTAAGTGGCTCGGGAGTCCTTTCTGGGTCAGTTTTGAGCAGATACATAGAACTTTGATAACAGAACTTAGAGCACTGAAATTACTGTTAGAAACACGAAGTTGTTCTTTGTTTTCTGTGCTAAGTTCTGTTGAGTATTTGGTGTCGTGTTTTGTGGGTGGAGGTAGGGAATAAGGGAGAAAGTCATAGTTTAGTCATTACCTGGGGGAAGACCTCCTCCTGTGATTGTAGACTGAACAGTAGGGATCTGGGTAAGTAGTAAAAATTTGGATTTGAAGATTTTCTTCTAGGGTAAGGGCTTAGCTTAACATTTGGGAACAAGATTGGGGGTGGGGGGGAGCAAAACATTTCAAGGATAACAGTTGCTTATTAGTAATGATTGGGTGAGATGTTCTAAGCTGCAGAAAATCAAAGGCTAACGATGTGGTCTGTATGTTTTAGGGGTAAATAGTCATTTTTTGTTTGTCTTTAAGAGGAGACGTGGTATGGCAAGCTTTTTCTTTTTTTTTTTTTAACATTTGGTATATATATAAGACATTGTACAAGGTGCTGTGGAGTTTGTGGAACTAAAACACAGTCCCTGTTCTTAAGACTCTCCATGGTTTATTAGGTACTGTAAGACTTGGGCCAGACAGCTAAACGTGGAGCTGAGTATAGAGTGTCACTAGGGAGTCGTGGGACCCACCAGAGTTGTGAGGAGAAGCAAGAGAGCACAGGAAAGCCTTGACGAGGGAGGAGAGGCTGGGGTTGGGCCTTGAAGGTGGGGAGGAATCTGAAGTCAGAGAGAGGGTTTCTGAGTGAAGGAATGGTGTGAGCAAAGGCACAGAAGCAGGTGGGGAAGGGAGTCTGATAGATGACAGGGATGAATGAGAGATTTCATGGAAGGTGAGATTGTGTGGGGCTGGTTCCTAGAAGGCTTTTAACTCCGTCCTAAGAAATTTGGGATTTATTCAGTAGTTGATGGGGAGCTGGGGAGTGACAAGATCAGGTCTGTGTTTTAGGAAGGTCATGTAAGAGAAGAGAGAGGAGAGCTAAGTTCGGTGGTTGAAGCAATCGAGACAGTAATGCGTGCTGAGCCAGGAGAGTGGCAGAGGGAGGTAAAAACTGGGAGAGGCAGTCAGACAAAGCAGCAGGGTTTGGAGTTCCGTGGATGTGTGTGCACAGCAGTGAGGAGGGGAATGCCAGAAAGGAAGACATAGCTCCTTGAGGTTTTAAATCTGGGACTTGTGGAGACACTTGGGCAGGTACCATTGAAGGAACTGATTTAGGAGGAGGGTGAATGAATGGCTTTGTGTAAGTATAGTAAGGCACATTCCCCTTGATTGGAAGAAGGGAATGAAGGGGTAGGTGGCAGAGGCAGCCTTGACATGCTTAGTAATTTTAAACTTGAGATGCATGTAGAAACAAGGTTGAAGAAATGTTTCCTTGGACTGGCTGCAAGGAAGTTAATGCTTACCTTCTGTACACCCTGTTTGGGTCAGTGTTGTAGACTAGTGACCTGGAGTGGACCTGCACATGGCAAGAAAGAGAGTTATGAGCAGGAGGGTTTCACCTGGAGACCAAGGATGTACGATGTTAGAGTCTAGAAGAGGCAGGGGGGAGCGATGTGTATTGGTCCCTTTCCTGACTAGGGTCCTTTCCTGTTTTAGCATTTCTGCTGTGCAGTGGCTCTGTAATGCTAACAAGAAGTCTGACATCCCTGCTAAGCGCCTGTACTGCTTTTTTTCTTCTCTTTATTCTGTGCTGGTGAGTATGAGATGGCCTCCGCCTCTGGGCTGGCTGCCTGTCTCTCCCTTGCCCTGCAGGTAGAGTGATGAAGTAGAGGTGTCCAATGGGAAGGCCATTCGGATGGGACTGCATGGGGTGGCAGGAACTTATTGTGGGTACTTCTGTCCAGGTCCTCAGCCTAAACAGAAAACTCAGTGGGTTGAAACTCGCTGATGAAATGCAGAAGACACTGATGTCACAATCTGAGACCGATCACAACTCCTGTGTCCACTACGCTGAATTTTAATCAGAAGTTGGTTTGGGGCATGGACTCCACAGAGTGAGGGCAGGGACATTGTGTCCAGGCCACACAGAGGATGCCTTCTAGAGTGCTCACATCCTCAGCCTCGCCCCTCCCCTACTGCCGATGCTCAGATGGGGAGCAGGGTGGTTATTTACCACTGAGAG